CGAACAAGTAAAGACCGTTTGACTCGGCTGGTCATAAAGTTCTGGGAACGTCCACCATGAAGCGGCCTTGAGGGACCCCACAGAAGCGTGGCCTAGCTCGTCGATAGTATTCGCGACTCGAGCACAATGGACAGCATGGTTTCCGCCTGGATAGCGACGCTAAAGAAGAGCAGAATGGTAGAGACCGAGAGAAGTCGTAGACGCAGGAAGAAAAGTTCAAGTGGGAGAGAAGAAGGACGAGAAAAGAGAGCGACCATCATCCGGTGGGGTGGACTGGCAGAGGACAGGGCTACGGAGGAAGGAGATACCCGAGCTTCGGCAGACCACAATAAATAGCCGTGGTATCGTGTTGCGAGTAATTGAACGGGGCTTCATCCGTGGCGCATTAAGTATTGAAAACGTGCTGGATCCGGTGAGACAGCGGAGGCAGGAAGAGAAGAAGGGGCCGTGAAGACCAAGAGAAGAGAAGAGAAGAGAAGAGAAGAGGTTCGAAGTTATGTTCCGTATGCCGCTCTGTTGTTGTCCAAGAGTGTTTTATGTATGTGTGTGTGTGTGTTTCTGTGTGTATGGGTTTCTGTGTGTGCGCGCGCGCGCGCAGCGATTCCCGAAGAGGAACCAGAAGAGGAACTTCTTTCGCTGGCGGCGCATAATGGCGCTGATCTTGGCCACTCTACGGTTACGTGAGGGCAATACCGTATTGTTATTTGTTGGGTTAGGCGCGGTGCTCGCTTCCAGATCAAGTACCCGCGTGTCTGCGATACAGCGGGGCCTGGAATAATATCGCGCGAGCTTATTGTTGCCGCTCGTCGCAGATAGATCATTCTATTATCGAGATAGGGGATACACGCGCGAGCCAGCTCGCACGTTACACGATGGCGCGCACGTTCCCAGCGAACTCTGTACGGTCTTCTCTCGCTCTTTGGTCGCCTTCGTCCTGTTACTTTTGATTGATATTCCGCGCGCGCGCGCGCACGCACGCGAGTGCGAGCACACAGGCCGGCTTCCGTGGATCCGTTGTCCCTTGATTGAAACGCTCGCGCGCTGATGAACCCGAGAGCAAATCGAGCGAGGCTGCGCGACTCGGCCGAAGAAAGCGGCCCCGCTGAACCACGGCGCATTTCAGGCAGGGATTTTTTGAGCAGATACGGAATCAGCGATAGAGGGGATTCTAGAATTGGCATCGAATGATGGATACGAATCGTTAAGATGATATCTTCGCGTCTACCTCGCCCCTTTGGCGCGCATAAGCCTGCCTGGGTGATCCAGTGTGTCGCTTAAGTATTCATTTCGTTCTTCTCAAATTGACGATATATCATGCTTCCTTATACGGGCCCCCGACACCGGACAACGTCACGCGCGCCCTGACATCTCGAAGAGGATTAAAATGAAATAGAGGAACCGAGGCGATATTTTCCGTGGCTTACGTCACTTGACGATTGTATCGGCGGATCCACCGCGCCGCGTTCGGGTGTCGGAGCTTCCGTCCCTGAATAGCAATGATGATAAAGTAAAGTCGCGTCCTTCCACGTTGATCCTGCGACAACGTTGCCGTGGTTTCCATGTTCCGCTTCTTCGTGTCAATCTTGACTCCAGATGCTCTCGATCGAAAATTGTTCGCTCGATCGACTACGAGTTCCTCTCGAGCATATCGCTGCATCGCTTTCCGACTCGTGATCTTATCGCAAACAACATCGATTGTATCTAAATAGATTGCATGAAATACAATATGTCATGCAGATTACAGCAGTGTGAATAACAGGATGAACGTCTAGCGTACGGACCACGATTAGGGTTAAAAAGTACATTTAAGCTTTTAGGTACGGCTGAATTCTGTGCGAGGCTATTTCTCTGGACGGCAGAGTCTGATATGTACTGTACAGGGTGTCTGTATATTCTGTCTGTATATTGATAAGATAAGTCTGTATATTGTAAATCGATGTGAAGACAAAAGAAGTGTGAAACAATGCATTTGAAGACGATTATTTGATTGAAACGATGACCGAGTGAGCTACTAGAGTAAGCCACTATAGTGGCGCGTCGTTCAGAGAGATGACATCCGCGAAGGCCACTATGGTGGCGCCTAAAAGGTTAAGGGATGTTTTCGTTTGTCGGGATGTAAGAAAATACGTGTCATATATTTTTCCAAGAACTATCTAAAAATTTTATCAACATCAGAGTGTCCAGATTCGATTTATGGTAATGTCTCCCTTACTGACGCTCAGATTGTCCACAAAAATGGACAATTTGGGAAGGGGAGATACGATTATTCGAGCCTTGCAACTCGTTTTTATAGTTGTTGACAATCGATAACCGTAAAAAGCGAGCCACAAGGCTCGAACAATCGTATTCTCCTTTTCCAAAATTGTTCATTTTTGTGGACAATCTGGGCGCCAATTAGAGAGACATTGCTGTATTTCCATTTGACAGATACCGCAACATACGCGGTACAGTAATGTCTCTCTAATTGACAAAAATGGACAATTTGGGAAGGGGAGATACGATTGTTCGAGCCTTACAGCTCGTTTCTATAATTGTGGATAATTGGTAACTATAAAAACAAAGCTGCAAGGCTCCGAATAATCGTATCTCCTCTTCCCAAATTGTACACTTTTATGCACAATCTGAGCGTCAGTTAGAGAGACATTACTGTATTCCTCCTTCCTTCCTCGTAAATCCTCCTTCGCAACATTAAACGAGGCATCGCTGGTATATAAAAATTCATGCAATCTTCTACCGACTCGTCGAGTTCGCAATGCTAAAAACATGCGTAAAACGAACAATACGTAAAACATGCGCTTGCTAATTTGCAAGCGTGCAATATTCAACAATGCGAAACCGTAACTGGCAGCAATCGACAGTTCGGTTAAGGGATTAAATAGCTTCGAGTTCGAAGAGTCGACAGATACAGGCTTTCGGTAGGTAAAACGCGAATGAAGCATACGCCTGAGCCACGAACGGACGCGTTCGAAGAACTTGTCATTAGTCTGACAGCATGACGCGTCGTTTGGCCGACTTGGGTCACCAATCGATACGGTTGAAAATCATCGAACATGAAAAAGACCGGGATCAGGAGTCGTGGTGGAGAGCTTGCGCAACCGTTAAATCGCGTAACGACTCTCCTGATTACATGTATCCGTCGAAGGATTCGCTTCACGGTGGCGGAATACTCATCTTTCGAAGCGGCGACGTTTCCGATGGCGAAACCTGCGAGGTGTCGGCGATTAGATTGAATTAGGTTGTGCGCAAGATTGCTTCGTGCGCTTTCGGATCACGGTTTCTGCTGAACTGTGAGAAACCACTAAACTTTCATCCGCGGTTCTTGGTTAATCCCGTAATCAACGAGACCAGAAAGCGCATTCTTATTAAGATTCGAAGCCGCGGCGCGGCGCGCCGGCGACTCCTGGTTACTTCTCTCGCGCAGCCCATTTGCATCTAGTATCGTAGATCCCCGCAAACGATACGACCCGCTGCTACGGTCAGCGGCTACGGGCTGCTGGCTGCTTTTTTCTCAGGATGTGGAAAACAAAGACGGGAGAAAAAGGAACCTTCGTGCTCGATCGCGAAGCTATCCGGAAACGCGAACGGTACGAATCGTTCGGCGATTTTTCCGCGCGCGGATTTCGCTGGAAGCCGAGAATCTGAATCTCGTTCACTGGAAAAATCGTGTTGCCTCGATCGTCTGTAATTGTTGCACAATTCCTGATAAGCACAGCGTGGAGTCTTCGAACGGAATAAGTTTTTCAAATTTTAAAACATCAAGTATTTAACCCTTAGCGCTCCGAAGGCTCCGCTACGGAGTCATTTGTCATTTGTTCCGTAACTCCGACGGCTCCGCTGCGGAGCCAAATGTCTTTAGCATACGTTATCGTCGGCGTTAGCAATTGTTATCTGTAGTTAAAACGTGCCAAGTCCGTACCATTACGATTAAACCATTTTTTGACCTTTTCTATGGTTAGCAACATGGAGAAAAGTAAATATTACGATGAGAATTTAGAGCCGAGCGATACCGAAGACGTATTTGATTTTCAAGAGTTAAAAGACATTGTGGAAGACAATGTTGGTTATGACTCTGACACTTCGAGTAGTAGTAGCGAAATTACACTACCAAGGAGACGAAGAATGAGAATTATTGAAAGCGAAAGCGAAGATTCGTTACAAGACTTAGACGAATGGCGCGATGTTACGGAAGAATTACATATTCCAGATAGAATACCTTTTAGTGTATTGCCACAGGTCGTTGGATCACAAGTTTCTACAAACATTGAACAGCCGATACTATAATTTAAATTATTTTTCACGGACGAATTGGTAAATGAAATTATAAAGGAAACCAACGATTACGCAGAAAATGTTCTAAACTTGAAAGAAATATCTAGTAACTCTATTTGGCAAAGTGAATACCGTAACATTTGAGCCGTTTATTTTGAAAGTGGCATAAGTCACTTTACCGTAATGAAAAGTGGTGATTTTTTAATGTTTATACGAAATTATTTATACTGAGAAAAATATCAGTATCCTGAGATAACAAATACAAGTAAATCTTCTCGAAAGTTAGCATCCATATTTTGAAACGTGTTAAAACGCAAACCCTTAAATATATCGACTTAAAAACAAAGTGACTTATGCCACTTTCAAAATAAACGGATCATTTGTCCAAGTAAACCCAGAATGCGCATGGCAGATTGTTACCAAAGATATCGCACCATGGTGAATTACAAAATTTAGAATTTATCTTTTATTTACAATAGGAAAATGTATATTTATAAAACAAATAAAATATCAAATGCATTCGCAAGGACGTGTAATCTTTTCCGCTGAAAATAAGACTTCCTTTATCTCAGGCGCTCCGCTCCAAAAATGTGCCGGAGTTGCTGGTAGGCGGTACTCGAGAAACGCGCGGAGCGCTAAGGGTTAAAAAGTATTTAATTCACGTTTGTGAATTCAATGTTTGTAGGATAGGAATACGATCGAAAAGACTGAAATATTAATTCTGGTTTCAGCGAGATCTATCGATCCGAGATTTTGAGTGGACACTGGATGCATCGGAGGCGCGTCGACTGGACACGTACCTATCGAATGCATCTTTGCATCGGTGAATAGTCGCCGCGGAAAAGGTGCAAGCACCGCACGATGATCCTGAGAGGTCTCCAGGCTTAACTAACTGCGTTCCTTATCTAAATGGCAATAATAATTGGCTGTGAAGCGTATCCCGTATCGATACCCCGACAAACGTGCGATGCACTGCCATGGGAACAATGCACCGTCTGACTTATAGCGCGTTCGGTGTATAGAAGGCGTTCAGACAGAGAGTTCCCGGAGATGATAGGTGCGAGGTACACGTTCCTGAATCGAGAGGGGGATAATTCGGAATTATCATTCACGTCTAATCGATAATAGGCTCCGTACCTCCACGAGTTTCTGCTTGACAACGTATTCGTTTGCGAAACTTGTTGAATTTTCGAGGGCCCGATGACGCTTGACATTAACGCTCGAACGACCGATCCTCTCGACAAAAATACAACCGTGTACGCTTTCAGGATCGTTCATATTTTTGTTTATCAATTTTAATTGCAACATATTCTTCAAAGTATCCCTTCTGCTTCTTCTTATTGAAACACGTGGAGGTTGAAATTATACAGATTTTCGACAGAAACCGGATGGCTAAATATTTAAGCTCCGGGTTCAAATGTGGGCACAGGCTTCGTTATCCGAATCTATAATAATTTTATGCCTGTTTCAACGTACTCGATAACTTTGAAACTGTTCTTCCAAAGCCATTTTGTGGTTGTACAATTGTAGGATAAAATTGAAACAGAGTTGAAGAGGATATACGGCAATATTAATCGAGCCTGAACGACGTACATACCGAATGGAACTGCGAATAGATGATCGGCTTTCCAACAGCCCGTTAATTAGTAGAACGAATCGCGTAACGTTTGCACCAATTAGCGCATAAGCGGACGCAACAATGGCATCGCAACCGTGCATTGCTAAGTAATTGAGAGGCACGTCTAGCCGTGATACGGTTAACAGTAACTCGGATCGTTTTATCTCCGAGGAAAAGTGATATTGCGTTACGTGCTCCGATATTTTGTAATAATAACAATGAATCGAACGTTGACCTTACTGGTGCGCTCCGATTCAGGCATGTGGTGTGTAATACTGATTTATAGTTGGGAAATCTTGAAAGCTTTTATTATTCGATGCTATTGCACAATATAAATCCGAATAATTGATTGACGTACGAATGAAATTGCTTTCGAGAAATTTTTCAAGAATCCCTCTATTTTTTATCCTATTATTTGCGCTATTGTTTCAAGTATGGGTCACAATAGAGCGGTGTTTCATAATAGGTACATTTACCTTTTATCAAAGGTGTAAGATCCTTTCATCCGTCATTCAAGTCGACCGATAAGTTAAAACTAGCTTTACGAAATGCGTGAAACGAAATTACAATGATCGAGTGTGCGATAATTATCAATACTTTTCGAAAAAGGCTTCGACGATGTAACGAAGCAGCAGGAGACAATTTCGAACACTTAACGCAAAATTTTATAAATTCTATTGTTCAGTTTTGCGATTAATACGTTTGTTGAACTGATAAAATATACATATAGAAGATTAAATTGAAGTGTCCTTATTTTCAACACAGCCAAATATAAATATACATTAGAAAGGGTTAACATCTCCTCCGCATTCTATAGTTTTATATTTCTTTAATCGGCGAAAATTGGATCTTGTTCGCAGAATCCTGCAGTTGAACTTATCAGAAATGCCTCTGCAAGTCTGTGAATTTTCGCCGCACCGTGTACAGTCTTCGCCGATGGAAGCACAGTGTGCAGGCGAGTGTACGGCCGCCACTGTCTACCCTCGGTGACACCAGAATACGTCAACGAGGGTAACCGCGCATCCCACGCATCGCCGACCCAAGATCCACGTTAATTGCCGTAAAAAGCCACGCGCCTCCTCCCACTCCCCCGCAGCTGGATCGTATTTTCTCGGCCGTGTGTACATCGCACGTCCTTTTGTCAGCGAATAGATATCGGCGGAGGTAGCCACTTAACCAAAGGATCGATCGCTTCTTCGACCGCGTAGTTTCACCCGCGGATCTCCGCGCGTCTCTCTTTCTCTCTTCCCCCTCCTCCCCATCTCTCTCTCTCTCTCTCTCTCTCTCTCTCTCTCCGTCTGTCAGTCGGGGTAATTGAGTTCGGCGAGTGCGCACCGACAAAGTAAACCGTGAGGTATCACGGTACCGGGCGACGTCCCGCGGCCGTTGTCTCATAAAGATTACACGGTGCACGAGTTTCCATAAATATTCATGCTTCCATAATTGCTCTTCCTGCTCCCCGCGCGCCGTTGAATAACGACCGTCCAACGAGAATTCAGATTTACTGGCGATCGCCATCGCCGAGTGATTTCCAGCCTTTCCGCGGCGCGGCGGGCACAAGCGCGAGCGAGCTGGCACAAGAGCGAGAGAGCGGGAGAGCGGGAGCGGGAGAGCGAGAGCGGGAGAGCGAGAGATATAGAGAGAAAGAGAGAGCGGGAGAGCGAGAGCGAGAGATATAGAGAGCGGGAGAGCGAGGGCGAGAGATAGAGATAAAGAGAGAGCGAGAGAGCGGGAGAGCGAGAGCGGGAGAGCGAGAGCGGGAGAGCGAGAGCGGGAGAGCGAGAGCGAGACATATAGAGAGAAGAGAGAGAGAGCGAGAGAGAGAGAGAGAGAAAGAGAGCGAGAGAGAAAGAGAGATATAGAGAGAAAGAGAGAGCGAGAGAGTGCGAGAGAGAGAGAGAGAGAGAGAG